ACAATAAGAAATAGGGATAACAAAGAGGGTATAAATACTTAAAATACCTTAATGGTTGATTTCTAAAAATAATAAATTAAAATTGTATGATTTAGCGAAGTTTACTCGAAAGATAGGTTGTTATGTTATCTAATTATTTTTGTGTAATTTATCGACTTTTTTTATTATGGAAATATTTTTCCTTACGAATTTTATCAAATTGTGTATGTTGTAATGTTAAGATGCCTACAAATTTAAGTTATTTATCATTGTGGTTATTTTATTCAAATTTAGTTGATGGACCAATTTTAAGATATATTTTTAATAGCTTATTTCTCTARACCCAAATCAATAAGTGCGTTATTATTTGTTTGGTGATTTTCGTAGTTTAAATATTTTAACAGATATAATATTCTTATTATAATTTCTTCATTATTTGTACAGTTATTTAATTCATACACATGGATATGATCAATGATATTATTATTTCATGATATCAGTACCATAAGTTGTCATTAACCATTCATTGTGTCTATATCATACTGTACTTGCGTTTAATGTTGTGATCTGTCATCTGATTGAATTGACGTGTGCATGTGAATTCGTCCATTAAGACGTCAATACCTGCTTTGCTGTGTACCCGTATTACTTAACTAACATACTGATACCGGGATTCTTACCAGTATACTTGGGCGCAGCCGAGTGGAAAATATTGTTAGTGAGCGCCCGTGTTACAAATCAATACTCGTCAACGCATCTATGGCAACATTATMGTAGTGTGTGTTATTCTCATTGCCTTATTTTCATTTCCTATCATATTTTACCTCCGTAGTGCCTTACCGTCTTTATAATCATTAATTTATTATTATTAGAACTCATAATAGGGAAAGAGCAATTTAATTTTAATTTTAGTTATGGTGACTTAATAATTTATTATACATTTATAATTATTCCTTAAATTAAAATATAATAGTAACAAATGTGCTCCCTTAATCACAAGGTACATACAAACATTTAATATCAGTAACATAATTATATTGTAAAATTTAGTAAAAATCGAAGCAATTAATACTTTAAACACTTTTACAGTATTCATTCATTACATAATTTAGTAGTGTACCTATAAGCTTTTATGATTTTCTTATGGAACATTAATATTTTCACTTATTTTTTTACCATATTAAGTAAGAATCACGATAAACTTTTAAATAATTTTATGAAATCTGTTACACATTACATACTCGAGATCAAACATGTTTAAATATAAATGTAAAAAATAAAGATATTATAAACATTTACCAAACCTTTCTTTTAAAAAATATTAAGTAATTGGTACAGATATTTAAACTCATATTTCATATTTGTACAAAATTACTCTGAAAACGAGTAGGTACGTTTATTTTGAATTAAATGTTTGAAAATAAAACTAATTAATTAAAATGTCGTATCTTTTTAAAGAATTTCAGATTTTATCCAGATACATTTACAAGGTTTGAAAAATATATTTTACATATAGTTTAAACCTGAAATTAAAATATTATTAATTTGCATTATATTTAAATACATTTCTAATGAAATAAGACTGTGGTAGTGTGGTAAAAGAATGGTATCTAACTAATTTATATAAGTTAATTGAGTTTATTACAATTTTAACACATTATAATTTAGTTTTCCATTTATTATCTTTATCGCTAATAAAATTATGTACCCTAACATATCTATTAAATGTTTGGTTTAGGAAAATGTATGCACAGATACATATAATTTTTTAAAGTTTCATTATGTATTATTATATAATATCCTCGATAATATCATACATAATAGTCTAATAAAAATATGTTCTATTCATTACGAGGTTCGTTATTAGAAACTTACCAAATTTATTTACGCATAAACTATTTTTATAGAATTTAATTAGAATTATTTTATTTTTATAGTATATAGTAGGTAAGTACTAAGTATATTATGTACTTATGTAGGTATATAAATATAATGATTATCTATTAATTTCGAGATTAATTTTTTTTACTATCATATTTTGCGTTTTTATAGTTATATGGTTGAAATAGGAATATCAACAATGCTGACACTGAATTTTTACATTAACCGAACATATCCAAATTAAATAAATTATATCAAAATTAAAACAAAGTTAGAGAAAAATTGCTATGTTTTACTGATGTAACACATTAAATGTATTTATTAATTATTTTAAGAAACTTAATAATACATT